CCAAACTCTTGAAGTTCCTTTGAATCTCTTCTCTTTTACAACACTCTCAACATAAAACTAAAATAAAAAAAGATAAATATGTGGTGCCTGAAAGTCTATCCAACTAACTCCCCAATTTTAGAACTTTCAAAACTTTCCCTGTACTTTCAGGACCTCTTTCAAAGTCTCAATCTTCCTTCTTGTATAATTCTCCAAAAGACGCATTGGTATCTCTTCAAAATGTGTCTTGATTTGATGTATTTCCTAAAGAGATGCATCCTTTCACAATAATTTTTGTCCATGGTGGTTGTAACCACCTATTAAGCCAATAGGTGCCTCAAAAACCTTTTCAAAATTTGCAAAACCTGAATTTACTCATCCAATAACTGTCACTAGCGCTTAAGCGCAGAGCTTTTCGCGCTTAGGCTCGATCTTCTCTATTTAACCGACACTTAAGAACCGGATCTAGCGCTTAGGCGCCAAAACACTCTTGCACATTTTTCACCTATTTGCTCCAAATTTGATATTTTTTCACTCCTTTATTTGATAAATTTGATATTTTTTCACTCCTTTAAGCATTTTTCATCTTTTTACCTATATCTGAAAGAAAAACACAAAAAATACCTTCCATTAAAGCGAAATATCTCAAAAATAAGTATAAAAATATGTCTAAAAATACTATATATTTTAGGCATATCACCTGCTCCATCGATGAGAGTACAAAACTAGATGAAAAGTACTCACCACAGAAGGGTCTGAAGCAACAACTTATTCAGTTGTCGCTTGCTCCTCTAGGGGTAATAGTTTGGAAGCTAGCTAGCGACTTTGTGCTTCCCCAAGCTTAGAAAGAAGTGGGGGATGGATCATTCGATCAGTCACATAATCATTCTGGCGGCACATTTCTATCGTGCGGCGTTTCTTCACAGGGAAGCCTCCCCTGCCACCAAAGAACTCTCTGCAGAGCGGCCATTGTTTTAATCCGAGGATCCTTCCTTAACCACAGGGTTGAAGGACATCAACTCAGGCACAATGCGCTTTCCAGGTCGTTCAATGTTCGAAGCAGACTTTGCCCTCTTCTTCATTGCTTGAAACACCAGCGTGCAACCTCCTCATTAATGGATTTCAGGTGTTGTTCGCCCTCCATACTCGATGTCACTGATGGAAGGAAAGTTGAAAATGAAAAAAAGGCTTGGAGGATAAGTCCTGACATCTCATTTATAATGGCTTTGTCATGAAAATCAAGAAGTATTCTATTATTGCGCATTTAATAATCATGAATATTACAATTTTGTTTTAACATTTTAGAATGTCTTGTACTTATCGCAGTTGTCACTATCAAATAGTAAGAAAATCAATGAACTTTAATATGGGGACATAAAGTGTGTCAGCATGAATCTCAAAAATATCTCACAACTGGCAGAATAGGTGATGTGGCCCTTTGGGACCCATGGTGGACGACCCAGGACCACACACTCAGGCGAGTAATACCTAAGTATCAGGATGATGACAATACCTAAGTATCGGGATGACGACGCTCCCACATGGATGAAAAGTATATCATCTCTTGAAGAATCTACTTGGCTAGACCAATCCCGGCAAATCCAGCACCCCCAAACTCAAAACGGGTGAAAAGGTCCATTCAGCTTATAGAGAACAAAGTTCCTCAATAAATAGTCGAGCCCAATCTTATGACTGCCCGTCCATATCCCACGGCCAACCATGAACTAAAACTTATAGTAGACCAACGGCACGTGATCATTCACCAGTTGCCTCCGGAGAGTCCAGGAGCAGGCGAATTTCTTTCGCAAATTCCAGCTATGGCTAGGGTTACAGCGATATCTGCCGAATAACCATTAGAAGAAAATCTCAAATGGAGAGGCAGACACCCGCCAAGATACAGCGATATCCGCCGAATAACCATTAGAAGAAAATCTTAAATGGAGAAGCAGACACCTACCAAGAATTCTTCTTCTTCGATAGGGCCAGCGCTGGCGCAGCAGCTGTCGCCTCAGGACTGGGAAACCCTAATCGATGACTTCCAGTCCGGCATACCCTCACGCCGTGTCCGATGGCTTCCTTTCCCTCTTCTCGATCTCACCCTCAGCTCCCTGCTCCGCAAGGACTTTCCATTGTCCCTGGGAAACCCTAATCGATGACTTCCAGTCCGGCATGCCCTCACGCCGTGTCCGATGGCTTCCTTACCCTCTTCTCGATCTCACCCTCAGCTCCCTCCTCCGCAAGGACTTTCCATTGTCTCTCAAACCCCAACTTCTACTCTTCCTTGAAGATTCATCCGACCTCCTCTTCCGCCCCTCTCCTTCTTCTTCTCTCCCTCCTCTTCTAGATTTTCTCCGTTCTCTCCTCATCAACTACCCCGGCGAATTCTCCCTTAAAGAGCAGGCTATGGTGTCGACGACCTCAATTGCAATTGCAGCACTCGACTCCCCCTCCCCTTCCCTCCTCGACCCACTCGCTGAGCTCCTCCTCTCTATTGCGAACCGCCCGAACCACGGCCCGGACCGCCACACACGCTTCGTCGCCTGCGAGTGCCTTCGCGAGCTCGAGCTAGCCTACCCGCTTCTGCTTTCCGATGCTGCTGGCCATCTCTGGTCACTTGCGCATGCCGAGCGCACTCACGCTGTGCAGTCATACGTACTTCTACTAGCCACCGCCATCGCATCCATTGTTCGTCATGGCCTCCTCTCATCCCCCACATCCATTCTTTCAACTGCCGTTACTCTTGTTCCTTTCAACTCATCTAGCACTGTTATATCCCCTCCCTTTTCGTCCCCCGAGCCCTCTGATCTCAACCTTCGCGAGCTCAGGCGAATTGTTGCTTTTCTCCTTGAGCGGCCGCAGGTTCTGACCCCATTTGCGACCATGGAGCTCGTCACAATTCTGGCCAGCATCGTCGGTGCACTTGAACGCCACATGCCAGCTGTGGCCGCCCTTCTGAAGGTGCAGTTTTCTGGCCTGCTTTACTGCTATGATCCCATCCTCTGCCATGTTGTTCTCATGCTGTATTCACGATTTTCAGATGCCTTTTCAGGGGATGAAGAGCTGGGCATTTCTCGTCGCCTTGCCCTCATCCCCAAGGAAGCCCACCAGACCCTTGTCTTCAGGCTACTCGCCATTCATTGGCTTCTTGGATCACCCCAGCTGGCTCGTGAGAAGGGCTTCCTTACTTCCTTGGCACATTGCTTCTATCCATCAGTTTTTGATCCTCTTGCTCTGAAAGCTGCAAAACTAGATGCCCTTGCTTGTGTTGCAGCCCAGGCTGATCGTCCTAATGGTGAAATGGATACAACAGACCGACAGGATAAGAAAGGGAGGAGTGCCACAGTCGTCAAGCTATTTGATGACGGATTAGTCTGCGTTTCAGCATTCAGATGGCTTCCTCAATGGAGTACAGAGACTTCTGTGGCTTTCCGGACCATCCATAAGTTCTTGGTTGGAGTTTCCCCTCACCATGGTAGTGGCTTGACTGATGCTGAGTTACATGCAGTTTTTGATTCTTCTATCTTCCAAACCCTGCAGGTAAAGGATGCACAATAGTTATTGGCATCCATTCTTTTTGTTAGATCATATGCTTAGACTCTTACTTTGGCTCTACTGGATTTCTGTTATCTGTAGAGTATGTTGGTGGAGCTAGCATTGATGCACCGTGGATTGATTCCTGTGGTTGCTGCCTTTATTGACCGTCTAATGGGATGCAAGGGGCATCAGCTCGTTGGGGAACGTCTACTTCAGACACTGGATGCACAACTGCTTCCTAAGCTGGATAAAGGTTATTTTCTGGCTTCATACTTTCCGATATTTGAAAGGATTGCAAGGAACGATACAATACCGCCAGGTGGTTTATTGGAACTGCTCACAAAGCATATGCTTTTTCTAACTGAGAAACATGGCTCGGAGACTGGTTTAAGATCATGGTCTCTGGGAAGTAAATTGTTGGGCATTTGTAGGACATTGTTAGTGCATCATTGCAGCTCACGAGTTTTTCATGATATGTCTAATCTCCTTGCCTTCGCCAGCCAGTTCTTTCCTGACCTTGAAATTCGGGACAGTGCAAGGTAAGACAGGCACTTTTTTATGGATTTGTTGCAAGGAAATGCTATTCTTATTATTCTTTTCAATCTTTTTAGGATCTTCTTGAGGATGCTTTTATGTATCCCAGGAAAGAAGCTCAGGACAATAATAAATTTTGGAGGACAGCTTCCAGGGGTGTCACCTTCTCCTCATCCAGCCTCACTTTTCCAAGTTCCTTTGCCACAACATCCGCATGATACTAAGAAACGGTCTAGTATTTCTTCATGTATTCATCTTGAAAGGAAGATTCCACCTCTTGTTAATCAATCATGGTCACTAGTTATTCCTTATTCAGAAAACAGGGAAAGTGAGACCAGTTACTCTGAGGAGATCAAAGACATTTCAATTCCCTCCAACGCACCTTATAGTGAGCCTGATATGAATATTTATAGGATCAGTTTACAAGAAGAGGCTCTTCGAGTGGTAGATTCAAAGGTTGCTGAAACCCTAAGAATCTTACGAAGGCATTTTGCTTGCATTCCAGATTATCGCCACATGCGTGGGACTAAGATCGGTATACCCTGTTTATTGAGATTCGAGGCGGATTTATTTAATAAGTATTGTGGATTTGATTCACCTGCGTTGGGCTCAGATTTGGTGGACAACCTACCAGCTTTATATGCAATTGTTGTTAGTTTCAAGTCTACTGCAAATTATGGGTCTATTCCAGCTTGTCGTGTCCCCTTTCTTCTTGGTGAACCTACAAAAACTGGGCTTGATGTTGTTCCCATTGAGTGTAATGTCCAGGAAGATTCCAGTATTAGAGCGTCACTTATGGTTGAACTTGAACCTAGAGAACCAATGCCTGGACTGATTGATACTGAACTAACGGCAAATATTGAGAATGGTCAAATTATATCTTGCTTGCTTCAAAGTGTTCCGGTAGGAATTGGGGACATGTTTTTAAAGATTAGTTTACCTTCTGAAGTTGCTGATGATAGGGTTCCACACTACTGCCTAGAACTTTTTCATGCTTTATGGGAAGCTTGTGGAAGTTCTGCCAATACTGGCCGGGAAACTTTTCCGTTGCTTGGAGGTAAAGGTACTGCTGCAATCAATGGAACACGGTCAGTGAAACTTCTTGATGTTTCTCCAGAGTCTCTCATAAGTGCAATAGAACAATATTTGGCACCATTTGTTGTCAGTGTTGTTGGTCAGCCACTGGTGAATATTGTAGGGAATAATGGAGTTATAAGAGATGTTATATGGGATGATGATTCTGCAGCTTACCCTGAGGACAGTAAAGCTTTGGTACCATACTCTGAAAATGAGCCCCTTCAACTTGAATATAACCAAGATGATACTGCTTTATGGTATCCTCGTGAAACTAGTAGAAGAAGTCTTGGTACGTTTTTTGTTTTAATATTTCTACCACCTAGGTTTCATCTACTTTTCCAAATGGAAGTTGGTAATATTTCAACATTAGTTAGGATCAGGACTGATCATTGGCCGTGTCTTGCTTATGTTGATGAGTACTTGGAATCATTAATAACATAGATGGATTTTGAGAGAAGCTTGTTTATTCTTTGCTACACATGTAATTCTAGTATGGCTTTGCTGTCTAGGAAGCTCTTTTCCATCCTTGGCAGAATTTATTCTATTCTTTCTTTCTTGTGCCTTGAGGAGCCTTTTATGCACATCTGAATAAGTAATAAAATGTGTCCGAAGTGAGCTGATTTTTTCTTTCACATTCCATTTTCATAATTTAGCAACTTTTTCTTTAACAGTCTTATTTGGGTGCTTAAGTTTTCCCATCGCAATAATTTAGAAGACTTCTTTATTGACTGGCTTCTTTACACGATGAAAGTTTCCCAGCCAAAAAGTTGTCATGTTTATTTGCGTTAAGAATTGCTTATAATTCCCAAATCACTCTAGATGTGATTGGGGGTTTCTAACATTAATGAGACTAGATTTTATTTGTTAATTAAGTCCATATCTGATTGTTTTTAGACAGAAACTTGCTGAAAAAAGAAAAAAAAACTGTGATTTTGTTTCCACTCATGTTGTGTGTTTAAATAAAATCCTTAAATTTGGGCTGTTTTAAATGTGTATTGAAGTTTATAATCCGTCCTATTTCTTTCTACCTCCAAGGAAATGGTAGAATCATGCAAATTTCACCATATACCAAAATGTGTTTTCTAGCTATAAGCATCCAAATCTTTCTACTTAAATTTTCAATTGAATATCTAATTTAATTGCTATTTATTTTGTTAAGGCCTGGGCTTGGACCAGTGATTAGGTTGTTTTCATTTTGATTTGAAGATCCCGGTTCAAACTAGAGAAACAGCTGCTTTTTAATGTGGGGGTAGGACTGCATGTTGGTGTGAGCTGTTTTCATGCTTGGAGGAGGGAGTTTAGAGCTTGTTACCTAGTTGTTTCTCCATTTATTTTTTCCTTAGCTGTCGGGATCTTAATTTCTTTTTAAAAAAATCATTTTTTAGTAGTGCATGTTGGCGAGAGTAGTAGGGTAAGGTATTGCTAAATCAAACTGTGAACTTACTCAACATTGTGTGATGCAGCTACAACACATATTAGTATTAAATTTGAAAGTTAGTTAAGTTTTTTGGTCTTAAAGTGCGAGGCATTTTATATTTGTCAGAAGAAGTTGGGACATGTAAATATTGATTTTGGGCAGTTGGAATCATATGGTCTTTCTTGTTTTGAGATGGAGGAAAAGCTTGATTGTGAAGGGATATTCGATTAGTTCAATTGATCTCTTACACATCAATAAATTTGCTTGATTTTGATAGTGAAGGGTGACCTTTTTAGTGAAATTAATGGCTCAAAAATAAGCTATAAATTCTTAGTATTAATTTGGGTTGATGTAGATAGTTAATTAAGAATTGGATTTTTGGTGGGCTAAATGATTGGAAATATCAGCTGAGGTGTTGCTCAGGATGTCTACTTGTGTTTAAGAGTGAATGGCTAGATTTGGTGAAGCTGTAGTGATTGAGGGGCAACGAAAAAAGCTTCCAAGTCTTTAGTCTTATCATGTTTTGTTGAAAGCTATATAGGTGGGGCGTTGGAGTGGTTGTTAAGGCTTTTTGGTTGTGTGGTGTATATAGTTTTGTAGGTAGTTTAAGATATGAAGAGAGATGCTAGGATGATTTGGAGCAAGTGCTTAAGATAAGAAACCAACTAAATTTAAAATAAAATAAACAAATACATTATGTTATCAAAGAAAAGAACATTTGAAGTCAAAATGATCTTGTTCAACTTTCAAATTTTATTACATGATTAGGTCCTATTTATAGGCAACAAGTGAAATTTGAGCTACCACAAATTGGAGGAAAATTTTAGAGGAAAAGAGGAGAGTGGCTAATTGATATAGAAAGAGAGTTTCAACAACCTTTTTTAATTTTTTAATTATTCTTGCTCTCCATTAAGATGATCAGCCATACACATTTTTTTTGTCTTAAAAAAATTTACATAAATAAGAAATAAAAAACAAATTTATATGGGCTGTGATATATGCCATTGTTCATAGACTTGCTTAGCTTGGGTTTGTGCTCTTGCTCTTGCAACCAGTTTAGTGGGTGGATTTTGTTCACTTAATATGTAAGGTCATCTCCCTCAATGAGTTTTGTTCATTTTTGAGTATGGGAGACATAAAAATTTTAACTTATTGCTCAATAATTTTGATGTTATAACATTTAAAAACAAGAAGAATAATTTAGCCTAAAAGGCTTACAAATAAAAGGAAAATTACAACATTTAGAAATGATGAGCCTTTTAGAATATAGGCTACAACACAACTGAAAAGTTTTCTTTGAAAAATTTAAAAAATTTTCCTTACTACTCTAAAGGAATCACTTTCAATACATATATGATAGTCTCAAAAATTTTTAAGCTCGCAATAGTTTTCAATCTTTAAAAAGGTTCAACTTTAGATTTGACAAGATTAGCTAGATATGTTGAATATATTCCTAGTTTTTGTCTTGTTGAACAAAATTTCTTCAAGAAATATAATTAACTTTTTAAAAAAACGGTTTAACTTTGAGTATAAAAATCTTGAATGAGATATTCTATAAAAATTGAACGAAAAAATAAATATACGTTTTGAAAATATTAATGTCAAGTTATTGGAAATAAAATAATGATGATTAAAAAGAATCATGCAACATAATAAAATGATCAATACTAATTAAATAAGGACCTAGTTGTACATAAAAAAAAATGACTGCACAGATCTTGAGAAGATTCGATGAATCGCGTGAAAAGGACAACAGAGGACCAAGCCGAATAAAATGATCAATACTAATTAAATAAGGACCTAGCTGTACATCAAAAAAAATGACTGCACAGATCTTGAGAAGATCCGATGAATCGTGTGAAGAGGACAACAGAGGACCAAGCCGGTTGTTGACATTCAAGTTGGCCGGTTCACCAACCGACGAAGGAAACATCGGTTTGAGTTGAAGACTATCACGTACTGGTGCAGTGACAACCTGACCAATGCAAGAACATTTGAAAGACCAACAATCGTCCAACTAAAATTCTCGCCTTGTAAGACTAAAAAACTGAATGAAGACTGCTTAGAAAATTCCTTCCCAGGGATAATGAGTCTTCAAAGTAACTCACTTGGAAGGGGCGACCAAAAGTCTCTCAGCTAGTCGAATGACCATATCCGACCGAATGAATACCAGACCAATGCTTACAAATAACGAAACGATGCCGACATCAGTTGCAGGCATAAAAAGAAGCCAACAACAGTTATAGAGCTAGATTATGTTCTATTCAGTTAAAAATAAGTAAAGAAACAATTGCTCATAAATAAGAGTAACTTCTCTATCATGTAAAGAAAAACCATGTAATTTACTATATTTCTCCTATGGTTTATAAATTGGAGGGTGATTTCCACTAAAAGAACTATTGGATCCAATTAAAGAAATTAGTGTCACTTGTGCTATTTCCATACTTATTATCTTTCTTTTATTCTTCTCATCCGAATAATGCTCAATTCCTTGGGCATGACCTAAAGGATATTTTGGGATCCAACGTCATAAAAGGTGCGGTGAATGTTGAGTCATACCTTCAAAAAGACGAGGAACGCGTCACAGAGAAGGAACACATTTAGGAGAAGCTTCTGATGTGGAGCGCGTCAGAGAATTTGTGCAACAAGAATTTGGGAACTCCAAGGTCAGATGAGAGGTTAGATCACATAATTAACTCATGTAGTGATTGAGGGGAGAGCGTAACCTCTCCCGTAACTAATTCCTCTTGCACCCAAGCCCTAAGGTAACCAGACGGCTCAAGAAGCCGAACGTGTGGATGAATCCTGGGTCTATACCGAGGAAAATGTTGCAAGAATGGTGAATAGAATTATATCGCTAGTCGAAGAATGCTTTCTCTCGACAGATTGTTGATGCGAAGCCCTTTGAGAAGTTTAAGGTTCCAACTTTAAAACCATATAAGGGTTATAGTGATCCGGCTAATCACATCGCATCCTTCAAGTCGGCTATATGCCTACTCAAAGCTTCTAACATATTGAAGTGTTGATTATTCTACATCACATTGAGGGGTTCAACTCTCAGATGGTTCAACTTACTGCCCATGGGGATTATCAATTCCTTCGTTGAATTCAAGAAACTATTTTTGACACAGTTCGCTATTGCCCAGAAACCATGTCAGGATTCAAAAACCATGTGGAACTTTAAACAGGGATTGAACAAGAGTTTATGAGCGTACGTCGCTAGGTTCCAAGCGAAAATATTGGAGGTACAAAATTTGGAACCGGGGATCGCCAAAGCTGCCTTAGCAAAACGGCTCAATAGCCCACATTTTAAATATCATCTGGATTTACAAAAACCCAAAACTTTGGCTGAGCTTCTGGAGATGCCAACTTCCACATTGCAATGGAGAAATACACAAACCGACAAGTTTCAAAAAGCAAACCGTCCGACTGACAAGCTTGCAAAAAAGGCTGGTGAGATGATGGATGAAGGCAAACAGATCACCCTCGACGTAAGTGTGAAAGAGGTCTCCGCAAAGACAAGAAAGCTGATCGAAATACGAGAAGATGTAGTCACTTGATTGATAGCACAATCGACAACCGAGGAGCATCCAGGCCCACTCAGTTAAGGGTTTCAATAGAAGAAATGGTGGATGTTGTTCATGACAAGGAGGGAGTACTTTCATAACCCACCCCTCCCCCAATGAAGACTGGAGGTTTTCTCAAGAATACAAACAAATTCTATAAGTATGATAAAGATTGTGATCATGATACGAAGGAGTGTAGACACCTATGTTGCCTGGTCAAAGAGTTGACTAGGGCTGGTAAATTCATGGAGTTTCTGGCCTCTGGAGCACACACAACAATAGGAGAAAACTCCCACAGATGATGATTCCGACGGATTTGTATGAGTGAATGCTATCCACATCATCGAGATGGTACCCGCAATACTGGAAGGAGATTCAGTCAGAAGACCCAACCAACAGAGGATCTGATTAGTAGAGTACAGTGCATTTGCTTCCATCTCAAGAGGAAAGCCTCACCCATTGATCACTAATGGAGATTTACCACCCACATCAAACCCCTAAAATGACACCATTGTCATCACAACGATGATTAATAGCTACCAGGTAGGAAGTGTTTTAGTTGATGTAGGTAGTTTAAAGAACATTCTCTTCAAAGCTGCTTTTGACAAGATGAATTGTCGACCAACCGCC